TATATATTTGAAAGCATTGAATGCGAGAAATCATAACCATACAAAAGATGAAAGCATTAAATGTGGAAAATCATAACCATACACTTATCGTTGCAGTACGTAAAGCGGCTGCAGAAATGATTTTACCTCTATATATATATTGTTTCGGATGGCCCAACGCCACAATGACCCAATGGTCCAAGCCCAAACCTTCCACCCTTATTCACGTCAGCCCTACCAGCCTTCCAACTCTCCTGCCCCCGAAGCGGTTGTACTCCCTAGGTGAGACACATTTGTGTCTCACCCAGGGACTCCAACTATCTAGGAGACCACCCCATATACCATAAGTGGAAACTACCCTAGTGTCGTATGCTGACATCGCCAGGCATATCGCAGGGCAGGGACTGTGTCACTGCTATCATAGCAGTGATGCAGCCACCCCTTGGCAGATCCCAAAAAGAGTTGACCCCCTCATCACCAACCCTCAGAGGAAGAGCATCTCCTTTCCCCTATATATATGCCCCTCCCTCGCATAAGGAAGGTATCTTATGTATCGTTATTCTGTCCGTTTATATTAAGTCACATATATACACACCGAACCCCCATTGTTTACTGCTTGCATAATACTTGGGACGATATCTCCTAGCTTGGTCACTACCTTTGCTAGAGGTGTCACCCATACAGTGACTCATCCCTAAAGGGAATATAGTGGGCTTATAGATCCTAACGGTATATATATATATATATATATATATATATATATATATATATATATATATATTCTTCACAAGGCAACTAACAAATATTAAACAATAAGTTGTATCGTTTATATACCAACGTAATATGAAGTTAAAAAAAGTGCCCCTAATATTAATTTGTCAAAATGCTTTAAAGATAAGGCAGCATGGATCATGCCCCATGATTTCACAAGTAAACGGGAAGGAGGTTGAGTAAGAAACCTAGGATAATGGCATGACATGGTTATTCATTCAATATGCACATAGTACTTAAAAAATATTATGCAATCCTAGTACTGTATAGTAGGATGGTATTAAATATATAATTATAGTTTGTGCTAGGGAAGTCACTCTTTTACAAAGGAGTGTGAGTCTCTTTTCGATATATGGAAAAACACCTGCACGTGCATTTGCTCCTCTGGAGAATACACGCGTATTCTTATGCATGCTATACATGTGCTTTTGAATGAGTTTGTCCATTTGCTGAACCTTTTAAGTTCACATCTTACACACGGTGGAGTTTGGAAATTTTATGAGAGGGAAAGTAAAAGAAGAAATTCGAACTAGATAATATCAGTGTGTTAATACGTAGTCAGATTTGAAAAATTCTTCAAATTCTTTGCGATGAGAAATAATATAGACGAAAGCTCGAAAACAAAACTTGAGAGAGAGACAAACTTATATTATTTTTCTCTCAAGTCTAAATATGATTTAAAATAAGGAAAATATGTCCCTTATATGCACATACAAAAAATGGGTGGGACCCTTTTTTTTTTCTTCTTCTCTCTTCTTTTTAGTGAATCTAACTCAATTTTTTTTGTATATTGCATGAAATAATTTTATATATTTCCCTTAAAATAAAGACTTATATAAATTTGGGAGGGGATAAACGGCCCTGCTAGCTCTTGACTCTACCATTGGAGAAAAGTTAACATAGACCCGGTGCACCATAATTCAATGTTCCATTTTTCAAAATAAGAAATTTTTTATGACACTTTTATCTCTATCATTTTAGGTATTTCCTTCCATGTCCTAGTTTTTTTCTATTTTTAGAAAAAAGGTGCCTTGCACCGGGTGCATAGTAACTTTTCTCCTACCATTGATATTACTTGTTGAGTGGTTGGTGAGGTTTCCATTTTCAACAAGAACTGTCACTAACACAAATGAATAAGACAAAAGTGAAGGCCATGCAATGTGATTATGTAAGTAGATCTATCCCAAGTAGCAATTGGAAGTTTCTAAAATCATTACTGAATGTAATTTCATTTGGTTGTTTAGTTATGCAAAATATCATGGAAGTATATGTTGTAAAGTGTACTTGAGGTTTTGCTAAAAGCACTTTTTTGCTTTATATATGCTTAATTAGCAAGGAAGGACCAAATGCACACACTGTTGTCATTTGGTAGGGAAAAGTAAAATATTAAAGAAAGCTCTTTCCTATGAAAGTGCTATATCTGTCGTAGTTTTTTTATTTTTTATTTGAGAAAGGTTATCGTTACTACTTATTTTGATTTATAATATTTTATAACTATATTTTAATTATTGATTTTTTAATTAACAATTATTATTTTTGTAAATTAAATTTATTAATTTATAATAAATAATAATCATTGATTGACCAAAATTAATGATTAAAATATAATTGTAAAAGGTTATAAATAAAAATAGTTTGTAATATATCTTTTCAGTTTTTATTTAATAGAAAAGTAGAAATTCATAAAGTATAGTCTAGTCGTGACCTCCCTGTTGAATCATTCATTTTTTGGCCGGCTTTTGAAGCTAACATCTCTATATTAACTACACCATTTTTTCTAAAATTTGAACTATGCCTAAATAGCTTAGCATATTCCTTTGTGAATGGAGATATTCTTACTACTAGAAAAATTTACTACCAATTCATTACCTTCATGATCATCATTGGATCAATATTTTCTCTCTCTTCAAAAACTAATGGTAATTGTGGAAGTAGTGAGTTGGTAGTGAATATTTTTGGTAGTTAGAATATTTCCCTTCTTCCTTTGTACTTATATAATGTTAGAAGTTAAATGAAATCATTTTTGTCACTAATAGGACAAACCCTTCGCATCTTTAATTCTTTTTTGGTATTTAGATCATTTAATATCACATTGCTTAAACAGTACAAGAGTTCCTAAACAATGGCCAAGACCGTATTGTTTTGCCAGTCACGGTGTTAAAGGAGATAGTTATTTCATGTCATAGAGATAAATTTGTGGGCTCCACCACCTGAAAAAATAAAAGAAAAGAAAAGAAAAAGGTGGCACAGTTATCGAAGGGTGTGTAAGAGAGAAAATATATCTTATGTAACATAAGAATAGTCCACCCCAAAAGCTAGCTCAAAGGGTGGGAGTGCCTAAGGCCTTATAAAGGCCATATTAGTTGCCCATCCAATCAATGTGAGATTATATATCTCAACACGTCCCCTCACGCATGAGCCCTTTAGGCTAGAAGCGTGGAATTGCACAGACCCAATTTTTGGTTTACCTTTTTGTGCTTTTTATTTTAATTCCACTTTAAATTGGGGGACGATGAGACTCTGATACCATATAAAGAACCTTGGGATACACCACCTCAAAAGCTAGCTCAAAAATTGGAATTAAAATAAAAAGCACAAAAAGGTAAACCAAAAATTGGGCCTGTGCAATTTCACGCTTCTAGCCTAAAGGGCTCTTGCGTGAGGGAGCGTGTTGAGATATATAGTCCCACATTGATTGGATGGACAACTAATATGGCCTTGGGCACTCCCACCCTTTGAGCTAGCTTTTGGGGTGGTGACCTCAAGGTTCTTAATAGTCACACACTTGCACAAAATGTGTAATAATAATAATAATAATAAATATGGTTCACTCATGAGTAGAAACTTAAAGTTCTCTTTTAATATTCCGTGCTCTCTCATCTCTTACTTAGATATTCTTTAATGTGTGATTTGACATAATCAGGTTATGTGAAATAATTTTAATTGTTTATAGACAAATTAACAATGATAAAAATGAGATAAAAAAATAAAAAATAGAAAGTGACAAAAAAATATTAATTTATTTATAAACGGTTAAAATTCTTTCACAGAATCAGATCATATTAAATCACACGATGATATACTTTCCGCAAAAAAAAAAAATATATATATGTGTATGTACATATATCTTTGAAGGAAAAAGTGTATGTCATTTTAAAAAATGTAAAATTATGTCATTTTAAATAAGAGAAAGAGGTAGATAATGGGAAGAGAGAATACAAAAAAAATAAAGGTATGGGTCATCGTCATACCTCTTTATAAGAGTAAAATGATATAAATTATGTTATTTAAAAGGATAAATACTTTTTCCATCATTGCAACATATTATTCTTATATCTTTCTATAGAGGAAGTTATACTTACAATTTTTTTTACAACCTCTTATAACCATATCTTAACACCGTTGATTTTCATCAATCAACAGTTATCATTTATTGTGAATTAATAATTAATTAATGAGTTTAATTTGCGAAAATCATAACAGTTGATTGGCGAAAATGTAAGATATGGTTGTAAGAGGTTGTAAAAAAAAAAATTATAAGTATAACCCACCTCATCTTTCAATTCCTTCCGAACAAAAACAAACCTATAACTATTTCACTGTCTCAAAAAATAAAATAATAAAAATTAATGTAACAAATGCAACATTTGTTAAGAACATCCATCCTATAGTTCTGCTTAATTATAATTATTAAAAAAGTTTTTATCCAGTGAAATTAAAATAAGCATAAGATAAAATAAAAAATATTGGATCTGTTTAATATTCACACTTCAAGTCTAAAGGACTTTTTTATAAGAAAGTGTGTTAGAGAATAATATAAATCATTAAAAAAATCTTTATCTAACACCTTAATATTTTGAGTTGAATTAATTCTTTAAAAGATGGTACTTTCGTATAAAGTATGCACTGAATACAAATATTGAAGAATTACCATGAAGCATTAAAAGTTAGAACTTGCATGCTCTCAGCTGAGTCCTTTGAGGCGTACTTTCTAATCTTATTCATTAAATTATTAAATTTTCTAACAGTTAAAATGAAATAGAAAGAATCAATAAAGAGAAAAAAACTATCTAGATAGAGAGAGAAAGTAGTTTCTCTTCCATTTACTATATAATATATTCATTTTTTTATTCATTCTTTTAATATATCTACCTTGCTAAGTGGGGTTTAGTGTTCCACTCACAAAAAGTAAAATTTAAAGGCCCAGTTTTTGTTTTGAGATTCAGATTGGGTCAATGCAGCAAGTAAAACTGTTGAAGTAGGTGAAGTGGGAAACCCTTTCCTTAGATTTTGTTTTGGTTAAAGATTCAGAAGTCAAAACTGTCTATTCCTTCAACCGTTTTTTCAAAGTTGTTTTTTGATTTATGATTTTTATTTTTTTTTGCTTTGAAAGGAAAACTTAATCATCCCTTTTTTTGGTTAGTAGTGTAAGCAATGTTGTCCCAGAGAATGTTCAACTCTCAAGTTTTCATGAGCAAAAAAAGTGGTTTTGTTTGTGCTGAGGTTTGTGCAGGAACAATCTTGGGTTTTTATTCTTTAATGCATAGTGGTGATGATAGAAATGACATGCATCATTAGTTGATGGCTTTTTCTCTCAACTACTATCCCATGTTGGTTTTTGGAGCATCTGTTCTGAAACGTTGATTCCCTTTGAAATCTGATCTGACCCATCTTTTTTTTTTCTTCTTTTTTTGTTCTGGGACCAATTTTCTCCCACCCTATACTCTTTTGTGTTTGTGAGTGCCTGTTATCAAACCTCTAAGAGTTCAAAGAATCTGGTTATGTTAGGATTGATTTCCGGGTATGTTCTATCCTTTCCTTTTATTATTATTATGTTTTGGTTTCAGGTTTGGTGCAAAGTTTATGCCTTTGGATATATAAATCACTGTATAGATTGAGGTGAATTTGGGTTTTCAGGTAAATTTGTTGCTGGCTACCAAATTGAGATTGAGGTGCTTTCTGGGTATTGGGGTTTGGTAATGAAAAATATGGAGTTTTAGGTTTGTGCAGTTTGGCTCAGAAAAAAATGGGATCTCAAGGGGGGACAATACAAGAGCCAAAAAATGCACCTTTGGCTAGGGAAGGGTCCTTGTATAATCTGACCCTTGATGAGGTGCAGAACCAGCTTGGAAATTTGGGGAAACCACTTGGAAGCATGAATCTGGATGAGCTTCTCAAGAGTGTGTGGAGTGTTGATGCTAGTGATGCCTCAGGATTGGATTTTGGTGGTGATGCTAACATGCAACATGGTCAAGTTGCTTCTGGGTCCTCTTTGAATCCACAAGGGAGCTTAACTTTGTGTGGGGATCTTAGCAAGAAAACTGTTGATGAGGTTTGGAGAGATATGCAACTGAAGAAGAGTACTAATATGGATAGGAAAGTCCATGAGAGACAACCTACACTGGGTGAGATGACCTTGGAGGATTTCTTGGTGAAGGCTGGAGTGGCTGCTGAATCTTTTCCTACCAAGGATGGTGCTATGGAAGTGGTTGATTCAAATGGGGCTTCCCAACAAAATGTTTCACAACATGGTCATTGGATGCAATACCAGCTCCCTTCAGTGCAGCAGCCTCTACAACAGCATCAGCATCAAAATCAGCAAAAAAATTTGATGGGGGGTTTTGTGGCTGGTCATGCCATTCAACAGCCTTTCCAGGTTGCGGTGAGTCCAATTTTGGATGCAACATACTCTGAAGCAATGGTGACAATGTCACCATCTTCTTTAATAGGTACATTATCAGATACACAAACTCCAGGTCGGAAAAGGGTTGCCTCTGGTAATGTGGTTGAGAAAACTGTGGAGAGGAGGCAGAAGCGGATGATTAAGAATAGGGAATCTGCTGCTCGGTCACGAGCAAGAAAACAGGTTATATATATTTTTGTGTGGTGTTATTTCTTTGACATCTATTTGTTTTTTAATTTGATACAATGCAATGTTTTTGCCAATGGACAGGCTTATACACAAGAACTGGAAATTAAAGTTTCGCATTTAGAAGAGGAGAACGAAAGGCTGAGAAAACAGAATGTATGTCTCTATACCTTATGCAGTTTTAGTATATTCTTGTTTGCTGATATTTGTTAGTCATTTCCCTTCCTGGCATGCCATCTTGACAGAGTAGTCATTGGTTGAAATGCTTGTTTGTATTATGTCTTAGCTTATCTGTTGTGCAATATGATTAAGCATGTGATTTATGATACTGAAAAGGTGAGTGTGCAGCGTATATAGTGTATACGCTGCAGTTGATGGAATAAGCTGTAGTAACTAATGAATAATCAGACATGTTTGTGGTGAACTGACCAGTGAGGTTTCTAGTTAATCATTATGATTGGTGTTAAGAAAAGAATGTAAAGCATGTTATTCTTTTAGTTAAAAAACGGGGAAAAAAATAATGAGATAAGATCAAAACCAAGAATAAGAAAGAATGTTCATACTAGTTGGAATTCTAAGATATGTTGGTCTTGATTGCTATCATGGTTTATATTTTTAGTTCTTTAGTTTTTTAATTTCATTTGATTCTACTGCTTTGGAATATATCTGTAGTTTGCAGCAAACTGTGGAATATTTACCAAAAATAAAAGAAAATTTTCTCAGGATGAAGCAAAATTTCGTCATCCCTTACAACCATAATGCATCCTATGATTGGTCACGTGGATATTTCCTTTATTACTTTGCTGTTTGACTTTTGTAGTCATACCTAACTAGGGAAGTCATTCTGGAAAGATTGAAATCAAAATACTTGGGGTTATTTGTGTCTTTTATTAAAGGGATTAATATTTCTCTTGTTGTAGGAGATAATTTTATCTCCTACACATACATAAAAGTGTGTGGGTCCCTTATGGGCCCATGTGAGAAGAAGAGAGAGAAAAAGAAAATATGGACACCACACACTTTTATGTGTGTGTAGGAGATAAAATCGTCTCTTACAACATGAGAAACATTAATCCCTTTATTAAATCATATAACAGGTTTGATTGTTGAACAAAATTCTGTGTACTGCTTGTTTCTAGGGCGTGTTATCTGCAAATAGTGTAGTTTGAACCATTTTTTAGACCACCCTTGCAGATACTTAGTTACAATCAACCATTGCACTGATATTAGAAATTTTTCATGTTTCAAATGTATAACTTTCATTTTGATATTTCATTGTTGTGACTCGTGAGTCACACTTTGAAGTGTTGAAACTAACTTTATATTGTTGTGCTGAGTTTTGGTTCCGCACGCTCTTTGTATTCCCTTGGCAGTCACTTCTATCTAACTTCATGTATTGTTCTATCTTCTAAGTCTACTGTCTTTGATACTTATCTCCATTCCTAATTTCTTGGCAAATCATAGCACTAGAAAACTATGAAGATTTTAGAACATTTCCTCCATTTGACTGGTTTGCTAATTTCATTGACAGCAATTGGCTCTAGTTTAGTGATGATTTCTGACTCAGTTTTCCCAAACTACATTTTTGAAGCAATGTTTTTGGGAGTATATCAACCATCTGCCTTGCATGGCTCCAAGGATTGTTTTTAGTGTCTCAAATAAAGACTTGTGGGTAACAATATTAGAAGATAACGTTTGGGGTCTTTATGTTGCTAACTTGATTGGGGAGTTCGAGATATTCGGACAGAGTGATTGGAATTTTATACATGAGTGTTGGAATTTTTACTGGTAGCATAGACTTTCAAAGTTTTTAATGCGGAGTGCTCTAGGATTTTGGGATTATACCAGGTAAAGAAAAGAGTACTATGAAGAATCATAAAAAGGTAGTTCAGCATACTTCTCTACTGCTGTGTTGTTCAGTAAAAAATACTTGTAACTGAGAGTAATAAATAAATCCAAAAAATTTCTAATCCTATACATTACTAATAATCAAAGAAGCACCGACACTTGTAAAAACAGGGAGAGTCGTATCCGACACGCTCCGACATGGCGACACGCTCCGACACGGTGTCGGACACGCGGTCAACTTTTTCCGACACGCGAATTTGACCGTGTCCGACACGGTCAAATGGCATTTTAGTAATTTTTTTTAAAAAAAAAAATTATTTTTTTAAAAATTAAAATATATTAATAAAGCTTCCATCTGATCATATCAATTTTATTTTTTTGTCTTTTTTCCCCTTAAATAGATAAGAGATCATCTCAGCATTATTGTTGTCAATTCCTATTACGCTTTTGTTGTATCTCCTTGTCTCTGATCTCTCTATTTGATATTATATCTCTCTCTCATCCCAGTTCTTATTTTTTTTATTAAAGCTTCCATCTTTATAACGTGTTGATAGGTATTATTAATTTAGTTTCTTTTTTTTGTTAAATTATTAAATATTAAATGTAATATACACTATATAAATTAAAAACATTATTTAATATTAAAACGTGTCCCAACGTGTTGAAATCCATAATTTTTTAGGATTGACGTGTCGGAGTGTCGTGTCGTGTCATGGGTCGCGTGTCGTATCGGTGCTACATAGCTAATAATTGTTTAAAACCTCCTAAGATTTTTCTGAATTTGGTGATAAATACTAGCTCCAAATATTTAAATTGTTTGCAAATGTACATAAGGGGTTGTAAAGCAACCAAGTCAACCCAAAAAATTAAGTTGTTAGGTGAAGGCCAATTAATGGTTTTATATTATATTTTTCTAACATGACCCTTCACACGAGATTCCATTTGGCTTGGAGAATTGACAATACATAGGTCTAGACCCACCTACCTGTGTTAAGAAATTTCTACCATATTTAGTGCCTGTTTGGATCCTCTTAGTTTTAGCTTCTCTTCTCTTTATAAGCAGAAGCTAGGCCAAACAGGCTTTGAGAAAAGCTCCTATAATAAAAAGCTCTTTTTTTATAATGAAGAAAAAAGCTAAAAGCCAAAAGCTCCTAGGAGGAGCTTTTTTTAAGCTCTTATTAGCTTTTCTTGAATTGTGTGTTTTTTTTGAAATGAAGAGCCAAAGAGATAGAGAGAGAGAAAGAGAGAGAGAGAGGGTTTTCTTCAAATGTGTGCTTTTAAGCTAAATTTTTTATGTAATCACCAAACAACTTTTAGCTTTTTTTATTAAGCTCTTTTTTTTAGCTTTAGCTTAAAAGTAGCTTCTAGCTTAAAAAAGAGAGAATCCAAACATGCTCTAACTATTAATAAAATGGAAAGCGGTGAAGATTGAATTCATGACCGCTTGATTACATAAGCTCTAATACCATGTAAAGCGCCAATTTAATCCAAAAGTTTAAGATGTTAGGTGAAGGCCAAATTAATGGTTTTATATTATATTTCAATAAAAGGAGATATGGTATGTTAAAGTTGATAATGCACAATTGCTAAGACAACTAGAAAATCTAATGTGGACTTTGATATGTTGTGTCTTGATGATTTGTCCAGCGGTCCAACCTTTTTATTTGCCATTGGGCTTCTTGTTACATTTCAAATGATTTCTATAAGAATCAATGTACTACCAAAAATAAAAAGGAAGAAGATATGCCAATGTGATAGGAACCCAACAATAAAGATATTCTGTTTTTCTTTACATAAGCTTCAAAGCATAAAGGGGATACAGAATAAGATAAAGAACAGAAAAGTATAAGATAGATGTTACTAATACTTTCCCAGGGCAAAGCTTCGACAGAAAAAATGCCTCTGCCCTCAGCTTACTACTTATAAAGAACTATTTCAACCCAAAAGCTTAAGTTATTGGGTGAGGTTATATTTAATGGTTTTATATTTCTCTAATACGCTCCCTCACACGAGAGCCTATTGGACTTGAAGGGTGGATAATGTTGTATCCACCTACCTGTGCTAAGAAACTTCACAATACTGAATTAATTATTAATTAAATGAAGGGCGGTGAAGATCGAACCCGTGACATGAGGCTCTGATGCCATGTAAAGAACCAATTCAACTTAAAAGCTTAAGTTATTGGGGATATTGGATGAGGTTACATTTAATGGCTTTATATTTCTCTAACACTGCTGAACAAGAGAGTAATCATTCATCCTCTCTTTCCTCTAACTAATCTCCCCTAAATAATCACTTTCTTTTTGCTAACCCATACTAGTTTGGGATAAAGATGATGTTGATGTTTGTTGATTCCACTTCACCTTCTGGATGCTACTCAGTAACTAACTCCCACTAGGCCCTGCCACCTCAGTCACTTTCTAGGACCTCCTTCCTAAGCTTTTGGTCTACCATCTTTCCTCTAGGATCATCTCTCCTATTCGGGTTAGTAACATGATGTAACAAAGCTTAAACATGGTGTTATTCAATAGTACTGTTCTATAATGGTTTGCAGCATTTAATTATGTGTCAGAACTATGTCTGAAACCACATATCTCATCATTCCATTTGGAGTCATCTAAATATTGTGCTCATCACAATAAATTAACTTAGTGTTAGAGAACCCTCATGTGATTGTCCATGTTTGTACTGTCTATTTTTTGCCTAAACCTTTTTGTTAAATTTTTTATTTTATTATTATTATTAATGTATTTTTTTTTTTTAGTTTTGAAATTAGCATATGGTTGGTTCTGTTTCTTCTTTATCAACATCAACATCAACAACACCTTTATCCCAAATTAATTAGCATATGCTATTTCTTCTTTATAACTTTCAAAATTTTAAGGAACCTGAACAGTTAAGCATAGGATGAGTGGGCCTATGCATGGTCTACACATCAAGTCCAAAGGACTTTAGCATGAGGGAGCATATTAGAAACATAATAAAACCATTCATGCGCTTTCACCCAACAACTTAAACTTTTGAGATAGTTGGTTCGTAACAACTTCTATTTGCGGACTTTTTACCTTGTTGTAAAAAAAAACTCTGCTTGTAATGAGTAAGTTATTGGATAACACCATAAATGATTTTTCTAAATATTCATATCTACTCATAGTAACTTTTTCCTTGTCACAGGAGATAGAGAGGGTGTTGCCAAGTGTGCCACCACCTGAGCCTAAGAATCAGCTTCGAAGAACTAGCTCAGCGTCCTTTTGATGTCTTCATTGCAATGAGTTCCTAATTCTCTTTCATGCTATCACATCACATAGTTCTCATGTGCACATTTGATTCTCAAGTTTTCCAAGGCTATTTTTCTCAGGGTAGTTGTTTGTGATGCTATCAGTTTTCCTCAGCTTGCTCTATTCGAATATTTTCCTCTATGTACATTTTTATAAACCTAACTTGCAATTTAAGCAGCATCATAAATACACTTGAGTCTAATTCTTGACCTGTAAGTGGCTTTACTACCATTGTTTTTCATGGCTTCTCTGTGAGCAAGAGTGTGTAACTTATAGCCATTACTCATTTGCATTTGCTTAAACCTGTTAAACTTTAGTTTTAAACTAATTTCATTTCATGCAGAATGTACTTTTGCCTAGTATGGCGATTTTGTAATGACTTGTATAGTGTGGACTCACATATCACATGATAAATTTCATGATCTTGGTCCATATAACAGGTTTCTGGTTTGAGGCTACTGGCTATTTGGTGGTCTAAATTTTAGAATTTTGATTTTAAATCACAACTGCTTGAAGTTTTATAGGATGTGCCTGTTTTAGGTGTAAAAATAGGTAGTGGAGTGAAATAGAGTGGAATAATTTTTTCACAATTTATTTTCAGTCAATTTTGCTTGGTAAAAGGTGAAAAATCATTTTCTAGTTGCTTTGTAATATTGAAGTGGCCAAAGTTTGTAGAGTGGAGTATAAATGTCTTGTATGCAGTCTTATTTTTGTAAAGAGATTGTTTTTCGGTTATGAAACCGTAACCTTTCGGTCACAAAAGCTTCAGTTGTCCAGTGATTCTCTACAACTAATTTTTGTTGTATAAAGCAATGATAAAGTCATTTTTATTCTTAATGAAGATCTTTCATTTCTTAATGTGAACATGATATCAGTTTTAAGGAAAACAACAATTAATTGGTAAGCATATAGGAGTGATAAGTAGCTTGAAAGTTGAAAATAATCACTTGAAGAGTGCTTTTTGTTGGTGGAGGTGACCAAACATCCAGTAACAGGGTATTGAGAACCGAACCTGAAAAAATAAATATTTTTCTTTACGATAATCTTTTGTTAAAGACATTATATATTAATTAAAATTCATATTTATTATGTAATTTCATATTTATAAATGTTGACGAGCCCAAATTAGGGAAGATTACCACCATAACAAATGAGGCCAAATGACAAACTCACAACAAAGGAGTACGGCACTGCATCTCAATCCAAAATTTTAATGTGTTAGGTTTATAAGTTATTTTATTTAAATGTATCTGGTGGTACCAGAAATTAACAAACAGAACCTTACTAACAATTGAATTAACTGAATCAAATCACTGGTATTAATATAATGGAAATTCAGATCTTACAAAGACAATTACCTCCTTACAATACTACGAAATGACAGTAATCGGTGTATCCGATTTATAACCCAAAACAATTGTGAGTTGTAAACAATTGTCAACTCTCCCTCCGGAAGTCTTACAAACTTGAACAACAACCACTATCTTCAAATACTTGGTACACATAGGCCAATCAACTCAAATTAGAATAAACTACTATCCATACATCAAATCAGCCTCAGCAACATTTAAAATGTTTACTTTTGTTCAAGGAAGGAACCACCATATAAGGCAGCCTTCGAAAAGCCCATTAAGTAGCTCAAGGGCAGGGGGAAATGTACTAAAAATGGGATAAAGTAATATAGTTCGAAAGAGTAAGTATTTTTCAATGCTCTACTAAAAGCTATTTGCCGTGATATCAACAAAAAAAAGAAGCTATTTGCCGAAAATTTATTCAAATATTATTATTTTTAGGAATTACGAGATGAAGATAGAAGAAAAAAAGTATATAAATATTGGGTCTAAGATTACTTTAGATAACTTTATCTAATATTTATCAAAGTACAAACATAAAAGTATGTGGGGTTCATTTTTTTTTTTCTCTCTTCTCTTCACATGAGTCCACATGGATCCCACGCACTTTTTTATGTATATTTTGGTGAGCATTAGATAAAGTTATCTAAAGTAACTAAATTCTAAACCCATAAATATTTTATAAAAATTGAATACACTTTGATTGCAATCTAAAAATAAAAAATTGAAAAGATATAAAAGCTGAAATTTAAAAATTTATAAATGAAAGAAGTGAAAAGTCAAAAATTAAAAAAATTCATATAATAAAAAAAAATAAAAAAATAATATGTGACAAAATTAGTGGAAGAAATTTTATTTATATAAAAATTTGATTCATTCTAAAAAAATAATATTAAAAGAATTTATTATAAAATAATTAATATTAAAAATTTATTATAAAAATTAATATTAAAAATTTATTATTTTTAATAATATTAAAAATATAAATTTAGAAGAATTGTTTTCTTTTGATATAATTAGTAGAATTGCTTATACATTTCAAATTACAGAAAAGAAAATATACAAGACAAAATTATTTTTACACATTAAGTGAGGGTAAAATCTATGTTTGAAATCATAATTTGTTGTATCCTATTAGCCAGAACCAATTCTTTAGCCTAGAAAAGCTACAAATTCAAACTCCAAATAAGTTACAGTACAGGCATAAAGAGCATATGCTAATGAAGTTTCAAAACATATGATATGTTCTTCTCAAAGTTCAGAGGTTTGTTTGTGAATATTTCAAACTTTCATGCCCAAAATTTCAAAGCCAACTGCCACTTTACTCTACTGAAAATCAGCCATCAAACATGCATGATTTATTTGCAGAATGATGTGTTGGAGGTTAAGAGTTTGAGAGAGAAGGGTTCAGAGGTGCTTAAAGTATTACACCTTGAGACATCAAAGTTTGGAATGCTCAACAGTGTTACCTCCAGCTTAGGAAACCCTAGATATAATACAAGCTATTGGGCTCCAGTCCATACGGACCCAAATAACCATGCTTTCACCTATTGGGCTTATATGTGAACATATTATTGGATTATATTATTAATATACCCAACAATCTCCTCTTATGTTCACCATATAGCACAATCCAATAGAGTGATCAATGTAATGTTCAAACAAATATGCATCATTCATATCCAGTCCAAGACAATTAACTCGGATCAATCAAAGAGTTTTAACGGTAAAATATTAAACTCAATCGTCATTTTCAATCTAAATAAATAAATAATCATTATCATAAATCTGTTCTGAGACCAACATACTCAAATAAATATTTAGAGTTTTAGATTCAATCTAAACTCATCCAAATCCCAACATCCAAAATAAGTCTCGAAATCAGTTCACAATCAATAATGTTCATAAAATAAAGATAGTAAAATGTAAGTCTCAAATAAATGGACTTCATCAAAATGGGCAATAGCGGGTGAAATGTCAAGTCCCCACATACTCTATATGATATATTCATTCATCAAGAAGGTGATCTTAGTCAAGATCCCTCTCATTAAGCTCTCCTCTATCTCTGTCATCCTCTGTAGAATATCAAGTATGAATTTCATATTATTATGAATTCAATCAGTTGAATAATCTATCAAAGATGTCTAGTTCTACTAAAAGGACTTAGCATCATATCATCAGGCAAAGAAGAACATATATTAATGTCATAAAGCATCGCAATATTATGTTCATAAGCATCAAGCCAGTTTCATAAATTATGAACAAGACCTAAATAGTTTATTTTGCAAAGAGCCATAAACTTAAGTTTATTTGTAAGAGAATAACTATTGTCTAGTTTCAATGAACATGACCCATAGTTAAAACACTTACAATAACCTAGTCATGTGATTTCAAGTTTCAAGTAAGAATAAGACCAACCGGCTTCTTATGCAAACAACTATTTCAATGTCTCAATTTGGAATGTCACAATTACTAATTCCTCAAAATCAAATAATCTAGCATCAAGTTTGGAATGAGATCATTTAACCAGAAGGATGGTCCAACTTGGTTGGATTGTATCATCAAGTTTGGAATGACACAAGTTTCCCAAGTAGAACCTTTGATTTAGGTTCAAGTTATCTTCATCAAGTTTGGAATGAGTTAACTTACCATTTTCAAATTAATTAGCAACCACGAACATCGATGAGACATATAAACTATGCTTATCGTTTTGGCCAACAAAAGGAAGATTCGAAAATTCAAAACACGTAATTGGAAGAGTAAATGGTAATTAAAACTTGTCTACATAGTCTTTAACCCCATTTCCCCCACTGTTTTGAATAATCGATCTCTAGGCATACCTTTTGTGAGAGCATTAGCCAAGTTATCCTTCGATCTCACATCGATCAAGGTGATAACTCCTTATTTTCTCAGATAATTCAACAACGCATGTCTCAATCTTATATGTCTTCTCTTTGAATTAAAGAGAGCATTTTTTAACAACTTGGACAGCTGCTTGATTATCACAAAACAGGCTTAAAGAATTAATCTTTAGCCGAGTCAAAGGAATATCCATAATCAGATTCTTCATCCACTTTTTTAACAACTTGGACAGCTGCTTGATTATCACAAAACAGGCTTAAAGAATTAATCTTTAGCCGAGTCAAAGGAAAATCCATAATCAGATTCTTCATCCACTTTGCCTCTTCTCCGGCTAAGGCTAAAGCAAAAAGTTCTGATTCCATAGACGACAATGCAATAAAAGTCTATCTTTTGGATTTCCAAGCAATAGTAGCTCCACCAAAAGTGAATATATATCCACTGGTGAACTTACTATTTCTGATTTCTGAACACCATGACGTATCAGAATATCTATCCACAATTGAAGGATAACCAAAGTAGTGTAGAGCATAATCTTTAGTACCTTTAAGATATTACATCAGCCTATCGAGGGCATCCCAATGCTCTTTACTAGGATTACTAGTGAAATGACTCAGCATGCCAACTGTAAAGGCTATGTCAGGTCTAGTGCAACTTGCAACATATATGAGACTACCAATCAGTCTTGAATATTTTAACTGATCCACGCTGGTCCCTTCATGAGGACTCAGTCTTTTATTATAATCACATGGTGTCTCACTCAGTTTGCACTCACTATATCCCCAGGTAGAAAGGAGCTGCTCAATATAATGAGTCTGGCTAAGGGAGATAACTTGCCTATCAAAGCTTACTTTCATACCAAGAATGGTATTTGCAATACCAAGATCTCTCATGTCAAATTCTTTAGCTAAATTAGCTTTTATGTCATTCACTACAAAATGATCAAAACCAAGAATTAACATGTCATCCACTAGTTGTCTTTACATCCATTTCATGCACTACATAGTGTTCAATAGATGTCAAAGCAAGAAGAATTCTTATAGTTGATAGATAACACACAGGTGAGTCGACACCAAAATAGTCTACTTCACTTTGTTGTCTATAGCCTTTAGCTACTAAATGTGCTTTGTATCTGGCTATCGATCCATCACTATTCAGTTTCTTCTTCACTACCAACTTACAACCTATAGCCTTAGCCCCTTTCGGCAAATTGACTAGCTATCAAGTATGATTATGCAGCAGAGAGCTCCTTTCATCATCTACGGCTTCAGCCCACAGTAGAGATTCCCTAGATCTCATTGCTTCCTGATAGAAGAATGGATCATCCTCTAGATGGTAAGTGACAAAGTCCTCGCCAAAGTCTTTGGGAACTCTCTCTCTCTCGTAGATACTCTAACTGGAACTGATTCAACAGCCAGTTGTGTGGGGTAAGTGTCAGAAGGGCTTGCTTCAGATTCTATAGGAGATTCATAAATCATATCTGTAGATCTGGAAACACTCAAGCCATGATCTTTGATAAACTTATTCTCAAAGAATTCTGCATCTCTGGATTCTATCACCGCATTTGTAGATAGATCCAAAAATCTATTTGCAACACTGTCTTCTGCATTTCCTAGATATACACAAGTAATGGTTCTAGGTCCCACCTTAGGTCTCTTAGGATCTTGTATTCTTACATAAGAAATACATCCCCAAGTCTTAATAGTATCATATCTACAAGAGCGCTTATGCCATATCTCATAAGGAGTCATAGACAACTTAGAGTGTGGCAACCTGTTCAGGATGTGATTGGTAGTTAGAACTCCTTCTCCCCAATAGGAGGAAGGCATGTCAGCTGTAAGTAACATAGAGTTTAACATTTCAGTTAATGTCCTATTCTTGCGCTCAGCAACACCATTTGATTGGGGTGAGTAAGGAGCAATGGTTTCAAGTATTATACTCTCTGAAGCGCAAAATTCCTTGAACCCTGTCATTGTGTACTCTCCTCCTCTATCACTCCTAAACCTCTTAATTTTTTAAGTTGAGTTGATTTTCTACTCTTGACTTAAAAATCTTAAACTTTTCAAAAGCTTCATCTTTCAATTTCAACAAATAGACATGACAATATCTAGAAAAATCGTCTAGGAATGTTATCAAGTACTTCTTACCACCTCTAGTAACAAAATTTCTAAAGTCACAAAGGTCAGAATGTATTAAATCAAGAATTTGTGTGCTTTTAGAAACCGACTTAAAAGGTTTTCTAGTTATCTTAGTTCGTGCACATACTTCACATTTGTCAAATCGAATAGAAGCATCTAATGGAATGTCATGAGTTTTAGCTAGATGTTGCATTTTTCTAAAGTTCACATGTCCAAGTCTATTATGTAACAACTTTGGATCAATTAAAGTTGAACTCACATGGTTTATGCTTACAGTATCTAAACTCAATCTATACATACCATTAATCATGAATGCGCAACCAAAATAACAAGAGTTAACAAATAAAGTTACTCTACCATTCATAGTTGAGAAAAGCATACAAGCTTTATCAAGCAAAGATATAAATCTTCTTTTAAGTAAAAGTACTACTGTAACTTGTTTTAGAGTTAGTAATTTACTTGAAGAAAGCACCAAATTTGGAGTTCCAACATGAGTCACATTTGTCTCATTACCACTGCAATTTTCCACTGTGTCCTTCACTTCTATGATCTTAGTGAGTAAATTTCTATCATTTGTAGTATGACAGGTAGCACCGTTCTCTAAACACCACTCAAAAGAGACACTGACCTTTCCATTCTTCATAATTCCAATGAAAGCTTGAGGCTCAGGTTCATTAGTTAACATATTAGCCTCATTTTGTGGTGTGTTTTTTTTTTTTAACTTATTTGGTAGCTTACACTCTGTTGCCCAGTGATCTCACTTTCCACAGTTATGGCACTTGTCCTTCTTCTTCTTTTGAAGATAATCTTTTTGGCCTCTAACTATGAAGAAGATTCACCTTTTGGTGACTTGGACTTCTTCTGAGGTTTATTGGAATGTGAAACTAAGTAGGCAATTAACTTTTATTGTCCTATTTGTTCCAAACTCTTCCTAGAATAGTTTTGATCCTAAATATAAATAAACCCCTTTAATTTATCCAGTTCACTTTGTTCTTTCAGTCTTGAAAGAACTCTATTCAGCAGATAGTTTACTCAATGCAAGATCGACAAAAAGATTATTAGACATATCAGATTTATCATCTTTTAACTTGTTCCTTATGTTCTCAAGTTTAATTAAATAAATTCGTATTAAATTTCAATTCAAAGAATTTCTCTGCTATGAGAGCTTTGGAGAGCTCCTCTAGTTTTGGAACTAAGCATTCAAGTGATTTCATATCTTTTTTCATCGTCTTATATTCACTACAAGTCACAGCGAGATGAATATTTAGAGAATTTAGCAAGCAATCCCTATAAAATTATTCATCTTTGTTCCATTGATATTAATCCATAATTTTCAATGGTAAATGCAAAATCATTTAATACATTATGGAATATTTCATGTTCTTCCATGTCAAATTGAACATGTAATTTCCAACCATAAAATTCAATAACATCAAATGATTTCATTTCATAATATCATAAGAATTATTTTTAGGCATTTTAATCAGAGCTAAGAGTTAGAAAGAGTGCACCTTGTAGCTCTCTCAGACTTCGCAAATTAAAGCAAAAGCTCCAACTTTCATAAACTGCTCTATAGACTTGGAATTTACCAAAACAGACCCCAAAAATAGATCCGGAGCGCCCAAAAACCTTAAGATGGACTACCCCTATGGCCAGAAACTCACCGAAACATTTTCTGATTTTTAAAATGTCCCGTACAGAATATTCCTCAACAAACAGAATATTCCCTCGGAATATTCCTTTTCGCAGGAATATTCTTTTTAGCATAAAAGTGTACCTATAACTTCAAACAGTCATATCTCCTTCGTCCGATCTCCGTTTGAGGCGAATGACCACTCAAAACGATCGTCTCGACGAGTAGAACAAAGCCCAATAGGTTTCACTTTCTGAAATTGGCTAAAATTTTCCGGATCTGGACCAAAAAGTTGCGGCTGCAGTATCTTCAAACTCAGATACTGGAAAATCCTTCCGTCGAATCACGAAAGTAATTTAAAATATGAGTTCCTCTCGTTGAGATCTTCGAATAGACACCTTACTCGCTCAAATCCGACACCCGAAGCTAATACTTTAAGATTGTTGGAGGTTAAGAGTTTGAGAGAGAAGGGTTCAGAGGTGCTTAAAGTATTAACCTTGAGACATCAAAGTTTGGAATGCTCAACAGTGTTACCTCCAGCGTAGGAAACCCTAGATATAATACAAGTTATTGGGCTCCAGTCCATATGGACCCAAATAACCATGCTTTCACCTATTGGGCTTATATGTGAACATATTATTGAATTATATTATTAATATACCCAACATGATGTTGGTGATAACCATAGCGTTTGAACTAATAAGGACAAGTAAAAAGAGTTGCACGCTAACTAATAAACTATAATTTTTAGCCAAATGACAAGTGATCGATCCAATGCTTAATATAAAAACTGAAAGGTCTCTTCTTAAGTGCAACATTGTTATTCTCCCATCATATAAGTCTATTTTGTTCTGTGGCGCTTCCTAGGTACTTAATCCTCACTTTCTTTAATTTAGATGTGATATAGTAGAGTATTTTTTGATGCTCCGAGAGCATGATACTCCTTTTCAAAAATAGAAAATAAGGGGATTAAAAGGAAATTATGAAAAAAGGAAGAAATTTAGATGAAATCATTTTTTTCCATTTTAGGTAAAGGACCACTAAATTAGTAGTGGGCCGGGAATACAAATTTTTTTCAGTGATTATACCACCATTTATCCATAGATCATCAAATTAACTTTTTGGGCAAACTTATATTGAGTTTATATTTATATTGTTGTATAACTTTTTATCTGTATTAAGGTATTCATAAGGTAAACATATGGCCTAATATTGTTTTGAGAAATGACAATTACACAATATATACCAACACAACCCCTTCACAACTGCTGCTGTACAATCATTGATCCCAAAAAGCTGAAATAGGACACTCATCAAGTAGGTAGCTATAGAAAAGGCCACAAGAACAATTGTGTACAATTTTTGCTGCATTGTTCCATAACTAACTAGATTTTTTATGTAGATTTTATCACATTGTACATGATTTTTTAATGTTTAACAACAATTTGGTTTTCAGTGGCGTCAAGCATCTGCAAGTTACTGCATCATGACCAAAATCTAGTAGAAATAAAATCAGCAATTGCCATGCTTGATGTTAAACCAGGTGACTCAATTCCAAAAAGATTAATAAGACCAGGTACCCCATGAATGTCCTCTCCCTGCATGATATGAAACAGCAGTTGGCCAAAGCATATATATTTGATCATACAATTGCATAGATCAATTAGCAACTTGCAGTTTTGAAAATAATGGAGTCAATAAGAGGGAACATAACCATGAAACCTAATGATGGCAATCACAGATTTAGCAAAAAGTTAAAGGTGATACTGGTAGCCCTTGAAATAAAAAGAAAAACCAAATTGTATAATATATGTAAAAGATAGGTTTAGGACATCAATGCCAATCTATTTCAATTGTTATAAAATTGTAGCAAATGAACTTTAGCTGATAAATAATGAAATATTGAACATAAAGTGGCATAGACCAATTGGCTAATTTTGGAGTTTACAAAAATAACAGTCAGTCATAATGCAAGAACTGGTGCATAAATTGTATGGAAGAAATGTAACATTGACATCTAACTTAAAAGGAGAAAAATTAAATATTATTTCTCTCTTTAAGAGTACATATACAAAGGTGTACAATATATAGAGAGACAAATGGATCTAAAGGAATAAACCTAAATCCGAAAAATAAGAAAATACTAATCTAGCTAATAAAGAAAACAAATAATTATGGATACTTTCCATATTTATAACAGACAATCATGAGACTCACAATTCAAAATGTCAACAGAAGGGTAGGCCAAGAATAAGGGAGAGTGAGAGACCTGTATTACAAAATCAACAGGCAATTGATGGGGTCCTGAAAGTTTAGGTCGGATCCCTGAGTATCCTGGTTCTAGAGACCCGTCCTTCAGATTTGGATAGTACTTCCTTATCTCTGGATAAAACCTCTCAGCACGATTAGCACATACCGAATAATCAAACCTAGGATCAATGGTTACTTAAAGTCAAGTTTGTATCCAAACCAACATATTTTCTATTCGATTATATAAAAAACACACCATGAAAGAAAAGGGAAAATATGAACAAAGTTTTACAGCAGCAAATTTTTAATTAACTAATAACTCAGTTGTCCAAATCCTATGCTTAAGATCATACACAGATGTGAAATATCTCCTGTAAGTCTAAAATTTATGTTAATCAACTTAAAATTTTATGATGACTTCACAGTATAAGTGTATAACAAGCCTAAACTTTATATAAATAAATGAGTGGATACAATAAGTATGAAAACATACTTCAAGGAGCCAAGAGAAGCATTAGAGTACATTAGAGCTGTATTGTTTTGAGACATAAAAAAGTAGGCTAGTTTTACCGATAGGATACGAATTAACAGATACTGCTTATTCTTATAAATTGTTATAATTAAGTGCACAATCTATCCTTCCCCAAGCTATCCCGTATGAAACTATAAAATGATTTAGATGCAACCAGCTAAAACTAGAACATAGATAAGATACTTTGAACCATGACATGTTGGTGAAACCATGTACCATAATCATTTAAGTATTTTTGTAAAATGTTATGTGATAGTGGTATGGAGAAAAAAGCTCATAAACTGAGGGCATGTTTGAACAGAAACTACAATTAATGAATTATAAACCATGGAATTGAACCATTTCGGACACAAGAGCACAAGATGCCATGGATCATGTGAAGCAGATAGGACACGCCAAAGAACAAGACACTAAGAAGTCAAAAGCAACCAATAACTAATAGTTCAAGTGGCAAAGAGTTTGTTCCATTAAACTAAATGTCTCGCATTTGAATCCTGGGAATGACGAAAATAATATTGCGAGAGTCGGCCCAATATGGGTCCGACAAAACTCAAACCAGATTAAACCGGCTTGAAATAAAAAAAATAAGAGTCAAAAGCATGCAAAAACAGTGTTTAGGAAGTACTTATTCTGAAAGCTTGAGATATCATCAACACCGTCGATCCATTCAACATCTGGGCCAAACTTGACCTGACCATTCAAGTCTACAGTAACATGCACTCCAAGGCCACCATCTTCTGGTATAGGGTATATCAAATGTCTGAAAGGAGTGGCTTTTGTATTAGATAACGCGAAGTAGCAACCACGTGCATAGTAGGAAGGAGGAATAACTCCACTTTGTAGGCCAGTAAATCTTTTTGCAAGAGCAGGGGCACTTAGCCCTGCAGAGTTCACTAAGAGTTTAGGAATTAGTACTAGTTGTGGGTACAAAATTGATGTCCCATCCCATTCTTTAAGATACTTGGTTTCTGATATATGGAGACAAATCTCATTTCCTTCAAGATGGCCACCAATGACAGTTGAATTGTATGTGAAGGTAGTTCCATGATTTTCAGCTTCCCCCTAGACCAATAATGGGGTTTATTTTCCTGTCAATATACCATTTAACTCCAAATAAAGAAAATGATTTATTCCAAAAAGTTGATTGCAAATTAGATATAATTAATCCAAATTTGGATGTTTTAATCCATATTCACAACATGGTAAAAGAAGCTAGAAAATGCATACCACCAAAGAAAGCATTAAAGAGTGGGAATCAACAATCCCAGAGAGAGGGGATAGTATTGCTTTCACGCATTGCAATTCAGGTTCCATTTTCATGGCCTCAACACCATCCATCATCTTCAAACCATGAACCCCATTTTGAATCCCTCGGTTTAAGATATCATTTAGCTTAGGAATCTCGGAAGATCGGGTTGCCACTATAAGCTTACCAATTTGTTTATGAGGAATATCATGCTTGGAGCAATACTCATATAACATATCTCTTCCTCTTACACAAAAAATGGCCTGCAAAACCAGACTGAATTACATTCTACACAAAAAAGATGGGGAAAAAAACATTCATGTTTTGGTTAGCAAACAAAAAGACACAAGTATATAATAAGATATAAACAATGTTTTAGTCAATATTAATAGAGAAAGCTATCCCTTACTTTCACTTTATATGGCATAAAGAATAGCCCTAAACCAAGGTAACTTGCTGCAACAGTTCACTTTTGATATTTAAAGCGAGCTTGGAATATAATCAATCATGCTTGCTAGTAGCAACCATATAACTTCACCTTTACTAAAACTAGAGCATAATGATTCAACCAAATGTTTATACCCAACTACCCAAGTGTAAAATGTTTACTTATGCATTCACCTGAACTCCCAATGCAAAATGAGATTTCTTAATACATTGCCTCCCATGTACAAGGGCGAGTCTTGGAGCCACGATAAGGTATTCCTTGTGACCAGAGAAGGTCATGGGTTCGAGTTTAAGAAACAACCTCTTTTCAAAAATATAAGTATAAGGTTGCGTACAATCGATCCTCACCATCATAAATCGGGGAGACTTGTGCACTTGGATTTGCCCTTTTTTTCCCTCCCAAGTATTAACTTAAATGATCTTGCCTTATGGGTCAATGAATGATATAACCCTATGGGGTTACATGAATCCAATACTTTACCAGAATCACAACATAAAGATGACAATTTTTTTTATGGGGTTGCATAAAAATGATAACTTTAATTGCAAGGGACACACCAACCTTGAAAGAATTGCGAGGGTAATAGATTCCAGCATGAATAACTTCACTGTTTCGAGAACTTGTGCCTGTGCCAAAAGTAGGAGCTGATTCTATGACCAAGACTTCCCTACCCTTGTGTGCTAGGGCTCTTGCCACTGCTATGCCAACAACACCAGCACCAATCACTATGCAATCCACTTTCTCCTTTGGGACAGAGTACGAGGTTGTTGTTCTTTCAGTTTCGATGCTGCTCATGTTTCTGACACAATTGCCAACTAAGTGTTTCCATTTCATGTGAATATCATCACTTCTTCTTGTTGATGATATGAATCCTTTCAAGCTTTGAATTGCTCTCTTCAGCATCATTTTGCCTCACCCACAACAACAACTCTGGTTGTTTCAACTTTCAACATTTTTGCTTGTTTAAAGAGAGAGGATCAAATTACAAAATCGACCATGGCCTCTTGACTTCAGTCATCACTCTATAAAATCATAAGTTTTTTGGAAGGACTAAAAATATATTTTTTAACCATAATTTTTTTTATTAAACTTAATGAAGCATATATTTTTTTTATAATTTTATTTTGAATTTTTTAAATTTACATTTTTTTAAAGTTAAAAAAAAATAAAAACATTTATCTTTTTAAAAGATATAAAATTATGTAATTTTAATAAAAAATTACTATATTTTATGATGAAAGAAACATTATCCAATATAAATCATGGTCAAAGAGAGTGTGAGTTTTTTTAATTTAAATACTAAACAAAATATAATAATTTTAATCAAAATAACATAATTCTATGTCTTTCAAGAGCACAAACATTTTTCTCTTCTTATAATGCATGAAATATTTTTTGGGATTAGTATTTATTTTTTTAAAATACATAAAATTGTGTCATTTTAAGTAAGAAAAAGAGGTCACAATGAAAATTATAAAAGAAAAATTGAGATATTTTTTTAATAAATTTTAAATAAAAAATATTAATTTTAACTGAAATGACAATCCTTTAAAAAAAAATAAACATTTTTCCATATTCTTCCGTGTAAATTGGTTATAAATCGTAAGTTTAAAGTTATTAATTACTTTACATAGATAATCATAAATCTTATTATAATTACTTTTGTTTCGCTTTCTCTCTCCTAATCCATAATATCAAGCGAGTTTTTTTTATTTAATTTTGATCTAACAATATTAAAATTGACAATAAAAAGTAATAAGAAAAAATGATAATAATCATAACTATAATATAGTTTAATAAAAATTGAAGGGTTATTCCCAAAATTTTAAAATCTTAAAAAGTTAACAGTAAAGTTTTTTTTGGATTTCGGACAAAAAACATAGTCTTAAGTCATCTTTTGATCTTTTACAATTTCAGTTCTTTAAAGATATGGCCCCTCATAAATTCAACGAAGAACCAATTTATTTCTTAAAAAATAATTAATATAAATATTTTTTTTTGTAAAGAACAAAGGTGAAATCATATTTTTTTTTATCAGCAACTTTACTCAAAAAAAAAAATTATTATTTAGAGAATGTGCTAATCAAAACATTAACAATTTAACATAGAAGTTAGTATGACGCAATAAACGGGGTGAGAATCATGATGAATTAAGATGGACATCCATTTCGATAGCAAAAGAGAAAACAAAAGCAGAGAGAGAGAGAGAGAGAGAGAGAGAGAGGGATAGGATGGCAACACCAAGAAGAATGGTGTACATGAAAACAGCGTCTTCCTACGTTGTGCAGTTTCTGCAGAGGCCTCACTCTCTGCCTTTGGTTCTGAGCATGTTTGTGTTGGTCACGTGGATCTCACTCCGAATGCACGTGACTCGTCCTTCATTTCCAACCAATTCGACAACCAAGGACGACATCAAGGCCAATGTGGTCAGGTTCCATTCTCGTACTCCGGTCATTGCAAAAGACAACCGTGGCTGGTTGCTTCATCCTCTCTCCCTTGCCTCCGCTTCTCACATTTCAGGTTTTGTTACTACATCTCCAAACTTTATCCCTAACAATAATTATATATACAATATAATTGAGGAAGGATCTCTTATTTCACGTTATAAGATTCACTAGTCTCAATCTTTATCTCCTATCTCTGAGTTATATTAATTATTAATTTTAAATAAATTATAATGACGCAGTTTATATTTATAAACTTTTTTATTTATAAACTCTTACAAACTACGTTATTTTCTCTCGGAAAAACACTAGTCACACTATCTTTTTCCGGGAGAACATAGTGCAATTTGCAAAAGTTTGTAAAAAAATTTTGTAAACGGATCCTTCTCCAATTATAATTGTTAGATGAACGAAAATCAACTGTGTCAAAAAGTAAGATTTCTTAATATTAAACTAGAGTTAAAAGATCCTCCCTTGTTTACCAAAAAAAAAGAAAAAAGATCCTCCCTCAATATAATTTATACCGATATAAAAATAAGATGTCTTATGTCTTACGTGTTTATGACAATTGTATTCTTAGAACTACTATTTAATTAATGAATACAATTCTAGATTCTAGCCAATGGCTGAAATTGGAGGTAAGATTTGTTATTCTTATTGTAGCTCTCTCTCTTTTACAAAATGAGAAGTTGGGGACTCATATATATATATGGAAAATTATTTGTGTTTTAAAATGATATAGGTCGTATGCTTTTAGTTTTCTTTACTCTATGTCCTTCTAGTTTTAAACTTTTAGCTTTAAAAAGAGGCAAATCGAAGCAGTGATAAAAATGTTTTTTTTTGACTGAAAGATCATGAGTTTGAATTCAAGAAACAACTTTTTTGCAATTATGTAAGGATAAGGCTGCGTACGAGAATTTTCTCCACCTCACACTCGCTAGTCGAGTTTAACAAGAATTTTTTTTTTTACTCCCGGTAGTACATAGTTATAACATGAATTTTTTTTTTTTTTCTCTCTTCTCAGTCACATCAGCTTATGTGGAAAGTAAATTTTTTTTTTTTTTTTTTTCATATTATAACTATGTACTACTGGAAATACATAGAATAAAAAATTAAAAGGATATAACTTACATCCTTTAAAAGGACATACACTAAACCTATATAGGATCAGGATCATTTTACACCAGTGTAAGTTACACTCTTAATCTTGTCCGTTGATCTCACTTATATCTAAAGGCTCCAATATTTTAGTAATGTGAGTCATTGGATACAAGTTGATCACTGATCAAGATTGAGTGTATGACTTCTAACTCTTACACCGGTGTAAGAATAACTCTTACAACTCCTGTTTTATTGATTCCCCTTTTGGTGCTGAATTTACGTGCTTTGAAGTGGATTCTGAAATTATCTATGCTGTATTCTGAATTGGCTGGAGAATGACAAGGTGCTTTGTGTGGAAATTTCGATGACAGAAGGGAAAAATAAAAAGGGTGTTTAGTGTTTTTTAATTGTGTTACAGTTCTAGGAATTAAAACAGGATCTTTGCTTCTATGCAGGGGGAGCTGTCACTTGTGCTTCAATTCATGTTGGAGAAATTCGACCAGGCATGTTAAGAGGAAATCACAGACACCTTGATTGTAATGAGACACTTGTCATTTGGGGTGCTGCAACAAAATTTAGGGTAAGATCCTTTGTTGGACTTGGCACCATATCATTGGTTTTCTTATGTGATGCAAGGCTAGTATACTGTTAACTGCAGAAATGGCAAACACATGCTGATCTTTTCCTGAGTTAGAAAGCAAGATTTTCACAAGATAATCAAATGGATGCGAATATTGGATTGATCAATAGCTTACTGAACAAATGACTTGTTAGAAATAGAAGGCTTATATGATGCAATATTAGAGATAATTAATAAGCTTCTTATTCTGTTTTTAAAATACTTGTTAATTCATGTCCAAGCATGTGATATCAACTGAAATATTTTCTGCTGTGGCCAGAACACAAAGTAATATTCTTTTCAGTGAAAATTCATTTAGATATTAGCTCTATTTTTTAGTTTCTTTGCCTAAACAACAAATCTTGAATGCTTATTCTTGGATATGAGCTACATAATTTGTTTATTCCTGCCAGTGTTGAAACTCAACTGTTTATGGATTTATGCTCATATAATATTGCAAATATGAAAGATTGAAACCTGTTTTTTGGTTACTCCTCATTATGTTTACTACTTTTTTTTTTTTACTTCTACTAGCTATGGTTAACGATATAGCAAGGTTTGCATAGCCTATCAATTTGATGCAAAACTAGTTGCAATCACAATTCTCAATAGTCCAAGTCTCTAATAAATGTGGGATGCCATAGTTTCTTGTGCATCACACTGAAATAAAGATTTCCTTCAATTCAACTTTGCACAGTTGAATGAGCAAAGGTTATATGATCCTTTTTGTAATGCAATGGAGGACTAACTATTTTCCAAATTAAAATCAGTGTTGAACATGAAACACCATTTTTGCATCAGATTCTTATTTATGGCTTGCAATGTTTTTGCAGTTAGAGAACAACGAGGTACCTGATAATGGTTATGCTGAAGTGATCATTGGATCGGATGATGTTGCTGTTGCTACCAGCCCTAGTGGGATAGCACATGCATTAGTGAACATAGATCAGATCCGGAGTACATTCTTTATAGGATGCCAAGACAGTATTATAAATTATAATGCCTCAAGTACTGACTTTAATGTTTGGAAAGATCTTTAAGGTGCTGCTCTAAATTTTTTTCTTGTTTCTTTCCTCTTGATAAAATCTAAAATTTGTCTATGCCATTGATATTACTAGGTCATTATGCTTTTAACCTTTTAGGTCTCTTGTGCACAATGTTTTCTTAGTCTCAAACTCACTTGGTGAATGTAAGGTTTTAGGGTACAAAAAAGAAAGAAAGAAAGAAAGTACGGTTTCTGGCCTTAGACACTGAATTTTCTGTAATGTCAAGCACATGACCATTAGAAAGAGAACATCTCAAGGATTCCAAGTGAAGAAGTTGATGAAGAAAAAAACAGGGCCTAACCTTCCATGCCCATCCTCATCTAGAGGAATTGAAGGGTTAAATGCCTCAAATTGGATACTTGAGAAGTTTTAAAGAAAGCAGCATTTCTATATCATGTCATATCATTAAGGATCCAAACAGTTTTTGTTTGTGACATTATATAAATCAAAGTATGAATTTTCCACCTCTCTTACACCAACAAGAGTCTTCTAAACTGCTTGTTCAACACTAGTGAACAACTAAACATGATATAACTCTACCTTCTTTTCTCGAAATAATTTGGGTATCCATATCAATTTATGTGTGATGCTAATTTCATAGTAACTTCCATATGATTATTAACACAACAAATATGGTTCGAATTATGCAGATTACAAAGAATAACCTAAATATCCTACCATTAGAAGGGTTGGATAGCAATCTTTTACATCACTACACCAAAAGTCAATGACTAAAAAACAGACTAAAAAATGATCCATCTATCTTTTTCGCTTCCTCTGCCTCAAATCAGGAAATTTAAGAGGAACAGGAAGAGTGGCATAAAACATGTTTTTTTAGAATGAAATTTTGCAACCCAAATGCTCATAGAGTTGTCTCACGGCCATTACACTCATCCTCTGATCCTTTGCTATGTCCGTGTAGTCAGGTCGAAATTGTTGCAGATATTGTTATTGTCTATAATTATTAGTTTCCTCATCTTATTAGTCTCTCTATATATTGTAACCTTTTTTACATGTTCTATACACAATTTCCTCAACGTTAAATGTGTAGGTGCAATTGGACCTACAAAGCATTAAGACTGTTGGATTTAATTTTTAAATTAATTATTTTTATGAATAAGAAGTTTGATTTTAAAATGTGTGTCATTTCGTAGTCGAATAAGTGTCTTTTGAATCGTGACCTTATGTTTTCTATAAATAAATAGAGTGAAGATTTTTACGATGAGTTTTCTCTATTAGTTTTTGTAAATTCTTTGCATTTGTGTTCTTTTACTCTACTGCGATTGGTCAAACATAGGTTGACGGCTATTCAATATGGAAGTGCCGCCACAATAATAGAGATAATTCGTTCTATACTGAGAGATAATTGTCCACGAACTTTGGGCACCATAAAGAGGGCAAAATTATCTTATGGACAAGCTTGGGTTTTCCCTTGTTATATTCATATATTTTCGTACGGTATGCTTTAACTTTGTGTTCTTGCATGTTTCAATTTTTAGTGAGTATTACATGGAACTGTGAATATTGTCGAAGTAATTTCATACGGTAGGTTTTATTGGCTCTTCTCGTACCCTAGGCCCCATTTGGCCTTGTGAAAGAGCGTAAACCAAACAAAATGAAATTCGTAAGAGAAAAGAGTCAAAGATCAATCTTTTCCACTGGCAGCCTTTTTGATTCAGAAACAGCAAACATTGTTGAAAATTTATGATGCAGAATGTTGGGGACTTTGTGGCCCTTTACAGAGGAAACACCGTCCATGGAATGCTGATCTTTGAACTTTATAAGATGATTGATGTATGAGAATATGAAAGAAAGCTTCTTCCTTTCTGACTCATCCTATAAACATAGATAATGGATATATTATTTTAATTGTGAAAAACATAAAGTCAGAAAACTTCTAGAGTACTAGAAAAAATGGATTTAGTACTGAAATTAGTCTAAGTTTAGGTCTAGCATCTACCACTAACATTGGGGTGATAAAATTAACTAACTGGGCTCCTTCAACAAAGGTTCATCGAAAAATGATTACAGCATCACCTAATTTGTGAAAATATGCTCTTTAATTATTGATAAAACAGAAGTCTAAACATTTCTTATCCTGCTATAATATAAGCAATAATAAAGTATCAAAAGCATATGAAAACTATTTTTTCCATCTCAGATAGCTCCAAATGACAAAAAATTAAGAACTCTGAACTTATGTTTTTAAGCAAAAGGCTATGTTTGTATTAATAACTTAATCTTCTTTAATTAATCTCTCTATCATGTTGCAAAGAAAAGTTGGGTAAGCCCTGAACTGTTGCAAAATAATACATATGTCTTCAATGTTGAGTATGAGTCATATTTTGCATTAATCTGACGCAAAAAAAGTCATTGAAGCATCTCAGGATCAGGACCACGAAGGCCTAATACTATTATGATGAGTTGAAGGATTTTAATTCATAGCTCATCCAATTATAATTGAAAGGTTAAACAGGCTCACCTGACGGGTTGGATCTATTTTGCCACCTCTAGTCATTAAGCTGGAGAAACCTAAAGATACTTGCTCGAATCATCCTTTATGAATTGGAACAACAATTTTATTGTTACTTTTAAGCTTATAACATAGGGTTTTATAAGGGTTATGTTGTAAGAAAAGTGATTGTGTAATGTTATAGAGATTCGTTTTGCGTGTCGTAGTTTTTTTTTTTCTTCAAAAAAAATATGGGCCCCATAAAATGTTGTATGTGTAGGAAACTTTGTTGTGTCATGTTAAATGACAAATGCAAACCTCTATAACATATAACATGTAAACAAAAATGTCACTTTAATAACTTTTGATCTATCAATACTCAAATGGAATGTTTAACAATTTACTTATCTTTTTAAAACATTTTAGGGGTATTTATTCTACCTACCTTTGCCTACCACTCTGAAACACCATTAGATCAGAAACTCAACTAACTTTTATCTTTTTCTTTCCTCTTGAGATTCTGATCGAAGAGTGTTTGGATATTGGTAGATAAAGATAGATAGATAGAGTAATCTATCGCAACATTTTAAAACACTCAGATTATCCAATTCATGTCTACAGGTTTCGATTATATATCTAACATTTAAATTTATATATATGAGTAACATGGTCACACTTAATTGTAATAAATAGTTTCCACGCCCATCACTGCTAAAAAGGAAAAGAGGAATAACTCCCTTTTATTTTCCAACTTATTTTCTTGAGTGGTCATCTTTGATTACATTAACATATCAAATAATGCCACTGAATAAGGGAGAATTTTGACATTCATTTTCTCGCCAGCATTCTGAAGTGTACTTTCATGTGGCACCACCTGCACATGCATATGAACAAAGAACATAATGAACATCATGTTCATACACAAAAAGTCCACATGCTACAACAAATAAAGAAAAATTGCTTTATGTACCTTTTTGGGTTCCGAGAAGGAATTCTCATCCATTGCATGTGATGATGTTAGCACTGTTTTTGTTGACTGAGATAAATTCACACTTGACTCCAACCCTTTAATAGAAATCTTAAGATTCACTTCATTGCTTGCTAAGTTTGCAACCTTCACAAGTCATGAATTAGTTCCATTGTGATAAAAAAAATTTAATAACTGAATTAAGGCCCAAAAATAAAATAAGCTATGCTATTCTGCTCAAACATTATTTAGGTGTCACTCTTTTTATCACTAGGAATTTCAATTTTTATCACTTTTTTTTTTGTCACATTATAAGAACCCCTTTACCTTTATTCTCAAATAAAACTTATTATCTTGAGAAGATTTCCAGGAAATTGCAGATGCAGCAAGTCTAGTAGATGTTGATTTAAGGGTTGAATTTAGAAATGTGGCTCCACTTGATTCCCTGAAAAGCTTAAGCACCCAATAGCTCGGAGTCCCATAACTCTGGTGAGAATCAAATACAATTGCATCCGGGTTCCAACTAATCACAGAAATCAAATAATGCTTATTCTATATATATGTTAAAAAAAATGAATGGAAGATTATTGAAATTTCATGGCAAACACCAATTAATACCTCCTATCATTGGTATTAACAAAAAGTGGTGCATAGCTAACCATTTTGACAAGATCACTGCATCAAAGAAGGCAAAAAAAAAACAAGAAAAGATTAAGGTAACTTACAAAGCAGTGAACTCAATTGGAAGTTACTAAGAAGTTCAAGTAAACCTGTTCTTTTCTAATCCAATAAGGAACCCAGCTTCACCTACTGCTGCCCAAAGGTTTCCTTTTCCAGCTTTTTTTCCAGACACAGCATACTCACTTACAAAAGCCTGAAAATATCTAAAATGCTTGAACATTCATCTATATATATATATATATATATATATATATATATATATATATATATATATATATAAGAGTCAGAAGTCTTACACTCAATCTTGAATTTTGATCCACTTGTATCCAATGGCTCACATTACTAAAAAATTAGAGCCCTTAGATATAAGTGGGATCAACGGACAAGATTGAGAGTGTAACTTATACTGGTGTAAAATGATCCTGACCCTATATATATATATATTATATAGAGTAGGGTTATATTGACAAACTTTTTTTTAAAAACTTACAAACTACACTATGTCTGATCGGTAATACTCTACTCAAGAGTGTATTACCAGTCAGACATAGTGTAGTTTGTAAATATATATATATATACACACACTCTGCAATTGATACTCTTATGTTTAAATTTCAGGTCATGTGAAATTTTTGTGTTTATTTCTCTTTTCATTGACAAATTATAATTGTACCACGTCTATTTAATGCATGCGAAGAACGAGATAGACATACAAAATTTACATGCCCAGGTCAAATAAAAGTTTAACATGACAGGGTCTATTTCCATGTGTACAAACACAGCACACATATTAAAATATAAAATGGAAAAATGTTTAATGAGGATCTTCAAACCTTTGGACCAATACGTGGTGCATGATCAAACTCTCGAGCATTATTAGACATTACATTGGCAGTATATGAGTAGTTCTGATTAAAACATTATATAGTGTTAGAAGGATAATGGAAAGTGGACCAATAAAAGAAATTGTGGTTGGACATTACATGATAATCATACAAATCAGCTGGGTGATTTAAGGGTTTCTTAGTAGCATTGCAGTTTGAGATAATTTTTATATCTGGATAGGCCCTTCTGATAGCATCATAGAACTTAAGGTAATTTCCTGGTCAATCCAAAATACAAAGAGAAAAAAGAAAAAAAATGAATAATTGAATCAATCAAGGACCTACAAATAGTGCACAACCAATGGTTTTGAGTAATGTAAAGCAAATTTTCACTGATTAAAATAGACATGAAGAAATTAATCAACAACTTTTTGCATATATGCTTAAATTTTTTAAAAACACATGCCTTGATAGTTAAACTTGGCACAATCTTCATTTCCAACAGCAACATATCTTAAGTCAAAAGGCTCAGGATGTCCCATAGCAGCTCTAATGGAACCCCATGTTGAAGTGGAAGCACCTCTTGCAAATTCAATACCATCAAGGGCTTCCTACAAATGCAATCAAGATTCAGAAAGAATGGTCATTAATTATGAAATTTTGTAAGCCAATTAGAAAAAACAAAATAAATAGAAAGGGTGGAAAAATGGCTAAGTTGGAAAAAAAGAAAACTATACTTGCACAAAGGGTGAAATGGCAGAGGTATTAACTTCCTCAGCAACGCTGTTACCTATAAAAAAGATATTCAAGTAGAAAATAAAGACAAAGTCACTAATAAAAAAAGGGTAAACCCGAGTGCACAAGGCCTTGTGACAGTTGAGGGTAGCTGTTTTCCAAACTCGAATCCATGACATTTTGATCACAGAGCAACCATACCGTTGTTCCAAGGTTCGTCCTCAAAGACAAATTCACCAATATAACAAATAAATAAATAAATTCATCAATACTTGGTAAAAAAACAAAGTTAGGACAAGGAAAAATACCACTATTAAATACCCATACTGGCAATGCATTAAGGTCCTCTGCTAGCTGCTTAAGAAAAATAAGTAACATAATTTACAAAACAAACCACATATTTCAAGTTAATAGAACTAAATAACTAAAAAGAGGTACCTACTTGTAGACCTTCAAAATAGCCTAATCCATCATCAGTCCAGTAACCCCAATTATCACCAAAGTGTCCAGGTCTGTGCTCCCAGGGTCCAATGGTATCTTTCCATCTAAATGCATTTCTTGAATATAATCCTTGAACAAAACAACCACCTATTGCAGTGTAATGAAAAAAAAAAAAGCATTATGCTCAAAACATGTCCTTGTAACTTTAGAAATTTAATTTTAATTATACCCGGAAATCTTAAAAATCTTGGTTTCAGTTCTGCCACCATTTGAAAAAGGTCCTTTCTGAAACCATGTCCCTGTGCCAAGAAAAGAATGAAACTATTGGACATTGAAGTAAGTACCAATAACAGTAGCCATTGACCCTTTTACTCAAATGAGTCAAATCACTTGAACAAAACCTTATATGTGTCCAAGGGCATAGCTGACACTTGGTCCAACCATAACACCCCTTTGTTGGTTGTTGTTATTTGAAGACTTGAATCATGATTTGTTCCCTTGGCCTCCAACACAGTCTCCACCTTTTCCCACATGGAACCATTTACACCAACACTCCTACAACATAGATGAATCACTTGTTTATTACTTATTACTCAATAAATGCAAAAGAAAATCTATTTAAGTGTAGAGAGTCTCAACAACTTGATGTCAGTTGAAGCCAGTTTTACACCATCATCTGATCCCACTAGTGAAACTTTTAGGCCAATTAGTCCTATTGAGCGAACATAGAACACCACTTTGTACTTCTTCCCTTGCTCAATATTCTGAACATAGAAACAAAGTGTTATCAAGTTACAAAGTATCTTGATTGAAAATAAAAAGTAGAAGCATTAGTACAAGTAGCTAGTAATTTTATATATACATATATATATATATATATGTGTGTGTGTGTGTGTGTGTGTATGTATGTATGTATATTAAAATGTGACATTATATGAGATATTTAGTCTCACCATGCCCCAGTAACCAGGGTTAGATATACCAACACCATAGGGGCTGTTAGATAGTACTTCCATTCTCAGGGCAATCTTATTACGCTCAAAGCAAGAGGTGTGATCAGTTGATACAAGTATGGATGATTCATCTCCAATAACGGACCAAGGATAAATATTTGAGGGTACAGTTTGTCCCCCAGATTCAAAACCTGAAACACAAATTCTGTCTTAATAAAAATCAACACCTTCAACAATACAAGTTTAGTGGATATGAAAATGACCTCTATTGCTCACAAGCTCTGCCCACAATCCTCCAGCACCAGCATGATTTATCTCCTTCAAAACAAATTCAAGAGTTTAGTCACAGATAAGATTATAATCCACCAAACATGAAAATATGTTGAAGTAGCATTCAAGGAGAAAAGTAAAAGTAACAAAATTAGTCTCTTGATGTAAGTTTATAGCTAACCTCAAAGAAAACTCCCATAAAGGTTTCAGGGATTTTCCTCCCTGATGCATGAGAAGCATTTACTATCAGCTTTGCTGTATGCACTGGTTTAGCTTCAATAGCATAGCAACAAAGTATAATGCCAAGCAATATTGTGCAACATGAAGGCATGGTTTGGAAGGTTTAACTTAGCACCGAACTGATCCAACACAAAACAAAGAAAGCATCACTTGAATTTACACAAACATTATCTTTAATATCATCTTCCAGCTCCAATACACACACACACACACACATATATATAGATAGACAATGTGATTAAGATAAATCACATTAACATTCCCATTTTCTTGTTCAGCAAAATTATTGAATGGACCACTCTCTTTATTTAATTAGCTTACGAATTCACCTTCCTTTCTTAGCTGCATGACAAACTAGATTCCTTCTTACTTGTTCCGTTGATTTGTGAAAGTAAGGCAATGTGTTCCCGAGAAATTCTTACTAGGGATAGATTCAACACAAGCTGACAACTCATTCAAAATCAATGCCAACTCAGCACATTAAATATAAGATCAAATAATAGTGATTTTACATAAAACTATTTGAGCTTTGTATGTGACTTATGCTAAGATATATAGATGTTACCTTTATATGTGAGTATGTGACATATGCTATTTGAGTCCTTTACTTACTAAGTTCATGTTATCAATGGCTAAACACAGAAAACAAGCCAAAAGGACAACCCCATTACATTATCCACAAGTAGACATTAATTAATGGAAGGAACAAATGCTTACAAACTTGGTCCATTTTCATCATGGCCCAGCAATGAGAAGAGACACTCCAAATGGTGGAGACTGCCAAAGAGAAAAAATGGCATATGTTAAAATGCACCCAATAATCTCTTGCTACAGGACAGTCACCGTTTAGCATTTTGTACAAAAGAAAAAAGGCTACTGGCTCATGCAACTGAAACAGTCTGTTACATAATGAACCTTACACAAGGAATTAGTATTAAGCCTTTGATTATAAATGTTGTGTATTCAACAATTTCTTGTAATATGTGGATATGCGTGCATCCAAAATTTTAAAGTAATAATAACTGTTTATATCTCCAATCAACATTCATTAAATGCAATATATAAGGGATCAATAATTCTAGATATGTAAATAAGAAGCAACTTAGCAAGCAATGTTCATGAATTGGTGGGGCCAAAACAAAGCATCATAAGCAAGCAAACAAAAATAGACATGAATATCAAAGCTAAGAAGTTCTTTACCATGGATCCTTCATCACCTTCACCAAAGCGTAAGGTTAGATCACAATGAGCTTGGGTTGTTGAATCTAGAGTCATGGTTTCACTATTGGAGAATGTTGGGGTGTGTTCTCCATTTAATGCTTGGAGGCTTGGCATGCACCGCATTTATGAGTGCATGGCTGAATGTCTAACAACCACTGTTGGGTTTTCTTTCACTAAAGTCCAATTGGGTCTAGAGTGTAAGAAGAGCTCAAGAAACCTAAAGCCCATTCTGCTTAGGGTTAGAGTTTCTTGGAACCCATATATATTTTACGCTTATAGTCATCAGCCTCTCTGGTCTTCACTTGGTGGTTGTAGAGGCTGAGGTAAGGTCATCTTCCTGAAAGTAAGAGAGTGCCCACACACTTCCTATTTCCCCTTGAGACATAGTCTGGAAGATCTGCCACAGTTCAGCTTCAAGGAGGTTGTTCGTGCTGCGGCGCTGAGGTGAGCTGTTCGTGAAGATGAATCATACAAGGAAGATTCTACACGAGACCTGCGCACCAAGAGGTAATTGTGAAACAAGGATGATTCGGTAAGCATACCAATGTACTAGGTACTAAACCGCTTCCGCATAAATCCAATAGTTCCTACAATTGGTATCAGAGCCTTGGCTGTACATTGGTATGTGAATCTAGTTTCACTATTCGTGTAATTAGTTTTGCTTCGTAAAATATGGCACCTAGGATTCTATATTTGTTATTCAAATATTTGCATGAGTATTCTTTTCATTAAAAATCTATTCTTTATATGGTTTTGGCTTTAATCCATGGTAGAAATTTCCTTGTATTTTCTTGGGTTGTAACAAGGATGTTAATTCCATATGATTAGGTTTCCTCCTTGATGTTTTTATTTATTTTTCGGAATTTCTGTGTATTTTTTCAAATTTTGTAAAAGTTCAAGATCGAGAAACCGCGAGGAAGATACGCAGTCAGCACTGTTAGAGACTTTTCGAGGACTTTCCGATCTTAGAATGGGGCGATCTATATATGGTTGGAAAGAGGACGGAAATACGAAGGCAACGATGGGTGAATCTCCGCCACCGGAGACTCAACGCGCCTCCACAAGCGGATGCGAGTGGTCGTCACTCTCCGGCAAAGAATGAGAGCGTGAGGGAGCGTCCGACCACATTTTTGGGTGGTTCCGGCGGCGGTGCACTCGTATCTTCAAGGCGGTCCTTCCCCTGGAGTTTCGTGCTGAGATGAGTTCAGGTGACGGTGTAATGGACGTGACGGCTAGGGTTCCTGTATGTTGACTTAGGGTTTCTAGCCAAAAGTTGGTATTTTGGGCCCAAACCATAAAGAGACTTGAAACAGAACCTATAGACTATAGGAAAGGAGCAATCAGCCGCAAAGTTTCCTATTTGATTACTCTGTAATTTTAATATTTTTAGGAAACCATGGATTAAAGATATTATTATAATTAATTGCCTTAATTGTATGATTGGATGATTTATATGATTGATAACATGCTTTATTGCGATAACATGCCATATAGAATAGGTGGTGCCATATTATTGCATAACTTGTATGATTACATGAACATAATAACTATTATGTCTTCAACGACTAGTATGGTAGTTATTATGGGATTATTTTGATTTTAAATTATCCTAAAAATTTAATTAATAATTATTATGATTTTTGTTAAAAATCTAGATTAATAATTGAATTAATTAATTTTGGATAATTAACATCAAGACAAATAATCGTTACGGAAATTATTTTGATTTCAAATTATTCTCATAAATGATAATTATTATGATTGTTGCAATCTAGATTAATAATTAAATCAGCTATTTGGATGATTTAAAATCTAGAAAAATAATTAAGAAAATTTCCTAAGAGAATTCTTTTATTTTGCGAGTAATTTGTGGGTCTACTAAAATAGTCATGTGTTAAACACACGCTGCATACCACAATCATGTATCATGATTGTGTGAAGCACACGCTGCCTATCATGACCGGATTTTAGGACCTTAATGATTTCAAAATTCAGATAAGCTAAGTGATGCATGTTCATCGACGCTCTTGCTTACATAGTTTTTGAAATCAAACAAAGGATACTCTCAATTAAATAATTCTTGAAAATTGGAAAAATTGCTTATGTTGAATGGAAGGAGATTTAAATTAAGAAATTAATTTAACCTTCAAGCGCATTATAGAATCATTAATAAAATAATCATATGAAGTCTCATCGAATAAGCATGATTGGATTTTATTAGATTGGACCTAAATAATTATGGGAGGAGATTTAAATTAAGAAATTAATTTAACCTCCAAACGTATTGTGAGCCGATCAATAAAATAATCATGTGAAGCTCCAACGGATAAGCATGATTGGATTTTCTTGAGCCTTACTAATTTCAAAATTTTAATAAAGTATTGTACGGCCCAACGTCTACAATATTAAGTTATTAAAGATATTTTTGAAATTAAACAATAAATTCAACTAAGCTTCTAAAATTCTCAAATAAAAATATTGAATGGGTGAAAGGTTTTAAAATTAATTAATTAATTTTAAAACCTGCGGGCTCCATTTGTGGGTCCATTAATAAATGGTCATGTGAAGCCCCAACGGATAAGCATGACTGGATTTTATTTGATTGGACCTTAATAATTTCAAAATTTTAGTATAGTATAGTACAGCCCAATGTCGGCAATGCTTAGATACTAAAGATAATTTTGAAATTAAACAATGGTTAACTACATTCAACTTTGGTAAAGTTATTAACCCTCCCAACGAGGCTCTAGTAATGGCACCGAAGGCCCAAACAACAATTTTAGTTTTTACAAGTGACTTGCCCAATGTAAGTCTTGTAAAGATAAACTAAAGGATTGTTAACAATAAACAATAGTAGTTATGAGAATCTACTTGTACTTCATTTGTTTATTGCATTATTTGTTTGTAATTGTGTACTTTATATGCTTTTCAGAAAATATCTTAGAAATGATTTTGAGTCAAAAACCTCTAGATGGTACCAACTAAGTGGAAAATAATTTTTTGATACTACTCTAAAACATGAAAGCTAAAATTTGTCCTGACAGTACAAGGGTCATAGCAACCTGCAGAGGATGCGTCTAAGGACGCAATACTCAGATTGGAAAAGGACAAATATGGTAGTTCGCTATTATGTCTTCGCCAGTCTTTCCAAACACTTGCATAAGCAAATGCACATGGTTAAGAGTGGAGTAGAGATGCTTCGGACTCTTAATGACATGTTTGTTGTGTCTAGCAGAGCTGCTAAAAGTCAACGCAGGTTTTGCTAAAAGTCTTGTTAAATCCAAGGGTGGTAACAAGAACAAAATAACTTAGTGATCAATTGTCAAACCAGTTGCTATGAAGAAGCCGCAAGGCAGGTGCTTCAAGAGCAGACTGAAGGGACACTGAAAGAAAAATTGCCCAGAGGTGATGAAAAGAACTAGACATGGGTATATCAAGGCCTGATCAGTGAATGAATTATTGATTCAGGAATCACTGATTATGTTTGTTACTCTTTGCAGTAGTTCAAACATGGCATACCTGTCAGCAATGACCATAGATATTTTAAGCTTGAAAATGGAAACTTGTGTCTGCATTTGCAGTAGGACAAGTTATTTATAAGACTATGGTTTTGGGTGACTGTTTATTTGTTCCAAATTTCAAGAGGAATTCAATTATTGTTAGTTGTTTTGGTTAAAACATGGTTTGACAATGCAATTGATTCCTCAGTTACATTTCGGAGTTCATATTCGTCTTGTTTGTTCTAGTACATTGTTCAAATAGTCTTTATTACCTTTGTCCTATACCCCTAAATTTATTGTGTTGAATGGAAAGGATGATGAACAAGAACTTTCACCAAAGAAATTAAAGTTTCAAGTGAAACATATTTTT